TCCGGTCTTGCTTGATACAATACTTAATTAGTCCTTCTGGTGGAGCATTTTCCTTTGGCAATGAAAAATACATACATTATCTAACACTGTAAATAGGGCTCTAGACGACCTAGATAACTGTTACTCGATTAACGACACTTATGCTTCGTCTAGAATTATGAAGAAAATTGTTGAGGCAATTGGTAACCATTCAGGTTATCATCAACTTATCATATAGTCATAGCATGCATTCATTTCTGAAAGGTCGCGCGTAAACTGTCATCTGGGATACGTTGGTTATGTAATAAACAATGAGGATATTAGGAAACTAGTCGTCACTTAGTGCTTCGAATTCACGAAAACGTTTGGTACAGTACGACACTCATTTCTTTTGTATGAATTAAAGGCACTCGAGGTAACGGGTAAATTCATAACTAAATCCCACCCTCCTTAAAGGACCGATCACAGATAGTGAAAATAGGACCCACAGAATGCGACTGTGTCTTCCAGGGGTTAGTCATAGGACTCCTATCGTTCATTGTATTTGTTGATGACACCCTCGATAGCTTTACGTTTGGCCAAAGCATGGTTTCTTTCTTCTGTTACACAAAATCTTGGGTACATATATTTTGCCGCGAACTGAGTTTATCCTTCGTAACGTCTTTTGTTACGCTCTACCCTAATCTTCGGAATATGTCATTAGTAAATATTTAGTCATGTTCGACTACAACCCAGATCAAATCTTCTCTGAACTGCTTTATGGACCGATTCAAAGTTTCCTACATGCTCTGTACAGCCTATCTAAATTAAGCTATACTTAACGATGTGGCACACAACATCTAACCTTGTGAAAAAGCAACCTGTTGACAACCCTTGGTCACTTCAACAACCACAAGTTGTTCAACTCCCTGTAGCCTCTAGTTCACATTCTACACTAAGCAGTGCCAACAACACGCTCTTTATCCGTTTCCCTTTTTTATGCGTCGCGCTCCTTTTTCATAACAATTGAATGATCCTGCCTCTTGAGTTTTCTATTCACTTCCACAAAATGCAGCTCAGCTACTAATGATATTTTTCACCATGGGCCCCAGAAATAGACTGTATGCTGTCTACACGAAACCTAGTGCAGCTAGAGACTACTCGAGTAGATATTCAGAAACATTCAGAAAGCGTCCATAAGAACTATTGTTAACCATAACAATGTTAGTCCCGTCTTTTTATTGTATCTGTCTTTGTCTAACCATTTTCTCTCGAATCTTCACTCATCCCCTTAAAAGTATTAGATTCTATTTTTTTACCTAAAAGTTTGTTCCTGTTGGCTCCTTTTGTTTGGAAACCCATACTTCATCTTATGCTACTGTTTATTAATCCTTATTTTATTAACTTTACTGAGCACTTGCTCTATCTATAAACACTTATTATAAACCTCAGTGTATCCTATTGATTATACCTGAATCCGGAAACATATATTGTGTTGGTTTGTTGATCTCATTCTATACCAAGGCGCTAGATGAAACTGTTAGAAGTATTGAGTCTTCCCCACCAAAGTACAATAGATGTATTTTAGCTGTTTACCCACCTCGTTATGGCGCTTCAGGATCTCACCCGCTTATATCTGAGTTTTTAAATAAGTGTATTTCATTAACGATTATTTTTGTTCATATCTGGTCCATTGACCACTGGGTGGCACTAGTTTTCTCCACTTCAGCAGTCAATCATCAACCAAAACTGAGCAGCAGTTCCTTTTGACAGTTAGCGTGTGACCTCGAAATAAGAATTTTGAACACATGTAATATAGGGAATTAGAGAGGATAAACTCAGTAAAGCATACAGAATTCAATCTCCCTAAAGTCAATTTCGCGGAATGTACGTATATTGGAGGTGAAAACTCAACTGAAGCTCCGTTCTTCAACTTCATTGAGGATTTGGGATTATTCGAAAATGTGGTATCGGCAACGCATTGTAGAAACAGTCAGACGCCGTCGCGATGAGACTGGGCATTTACAAACGAAGAATTACTGGTTGACTACCTCTCAATCCTGGCTCCCCTGGGGGAAAGCGATCACGCTGTCATAGCCTTCGGTTCTATCAGCAAAGCTGAGCTAAGACATCACACCAACAACAGGCAATGGAATTTCGAACGGTAGAATGTGCCAACTTTACAGAAACATCTACAACAGGTGGATTGGGATGTTCACCCTCAACTTGATGTCGATGCTCATTGGGATTTCTTACTGCACACGCTTTTATGTGTTACAAAGCAGTCTGTACCTGAAGCGGTCCCCAAAAGCCATAAGCAACCTACGGCCATCAAGAACCGCACTTTTTGTTTGTTAAGCGGCAAAAGTCACTGTTGGGCAGAATACAAACAAACTGGCAATACAAAAATATAAGGAACATATGCACAAAGGCAGTAAGGGAAGACAGGCTTCAGTAACAGATAAAGCTTATCGATAAATTTATCTCCAATCCGAAAAGCTTATTCCGTTATGCAGCCTCTCTTCGACAGTCCAAAACTGGAGTTTCCCAGCTGCTAGGTCCTAATGGCCTGATTAATAACGACGGCGACGCCGCTAACCTTTTGGCTGGACTATACTCTCGGACATTTCAATCGGCCCACATCAACTATATTGATGAAAGCTTCACAGGACTTTCCAAAGTAAACCTGAGCTCTGACTTGTTGTGTCCGGAAACTACAGCACGTAAAAAAGACACTTCTCCTGGCCCGGATATAGTTCATTCTGCTATACTGAGGGAGGCATCTTCACTCCTGGCAACGCCGCTTGGTGTGATGTTCTCACACTCGCTAAGCCGAGGCAAACTACCGGAAATTTGGAGGCTGGCTCACATCACACCAATTTTCAAAGGAGGTCGACGCAGCGAACCTTCAAGCTATGAACGGTGGCTCTTCTCTCTATGCCTTCAAAAATTGTGGAGTCCGTGATATGCGACGCTATACACGACTATTTATTATTCCTTAAACTTATCTTCACTCCAACAGCATGGTTTCAGGAAGTTTCATTCTTGTATAACCAACCTGCTGACTGCGGTGGACAGATGGACAACCATCCTTGATCACAAGCTTAAGGCTGATGTCATTTACCTTGACTTCTCAAAAGCTTTTAGAATGTCCAGCCACACATTTCTTATTATTAGGCTCGAACGATTGGGTATCAAATCACCTCTAATTGATTGGCTCACTTCATATCTAAAAAATCGATATTTTAAAGTCAGGGTTAACTTCACTTTCTCTCAGGCTATGGAATGTCCTAGTGAAGTCCCTCAGAGCTCGGTACAAGGACCTCTTCTCTTTTTTATTTATATAAACGATCTTCCACAACAAGTATCGTCAGACTTGTAGTGACTCACATTTATCACGAGAACACGACTGGTTTAATAACAATTATTATTATAACCAACTGTACCAGTGTTTTTTTAGTGTACTTTTGTTTGACTGTGCTAATGACAGCTATATTGTGCTTCCATTCTTATTCTTGCACTTTTGATTGTGACTTCGCGCGAATTCGGTTACGTTCAGTAACCAAGCTTGTATCCTGGCACGATCTCGGTATCCTTTCGATGCCACGAGGTCGCCAGCAAATATACACCTCGACTTGGTCCATTAACTGTCTTCTGATATTTGGCTTCTCGGAGATTTTATGGATTTATTTGGTTACGTCCAACCTTCGCCTTCTGATTTACTCGGCACGTGTTTCTTGGTAGCGGTGTTCATAGTCAATCTCGACCCGAAACCACGCTACAGACTTATTACTTTTTGCCGACGACGTGAAAATTTGGAGAGAGACACGCAACCAAGACGAGATACAGGCACTTCAGGAGGATCTGACTGGACTTCAAAGTTGGGCGTATGACAAAGGACTTATCTTTAACACTTCAAAACGTAAAGTAGTCCATCTGAGACATTTTTCAGACTGCAACTACAACTTAAGAAACTCATCTCTAGAGGTATCTCAAGTTGAAAAAGATTTAGGAGTGCTGGTACCCTACGATTTGAAGTCATACTCTGTGACAAAAATGCCTTTCGAGAAAATCTTGCACTGGTAACATTGAAGCGCATTCTTGGCCAGTTTGACAGGAAAACTTTCCACATAATCTTCAACAGTTTTATTCGTCCCCATTCAGAGTACGGAAACATTGTATTTCCTCCCTCACTCCAAAAGGATAAGGACACTCTGGAGCGTATCCAACGGCGAGCCACGAAATCAGTTCTGGGACTCAAATTCAAGCCTTATGAAGGGCGTCTCCAATCACTTGACCTTTACCCATTAGAGTATAGGCGTCTTAGATGTGACCTAATGGGTTACAGTATCATTAACACTCCTGGACATCCCCCTAAACGCCTACTTAAGCTCAGTCCCAGAAACTGGAGATACAACATAGCAGAATGGACTGTAGACACAACTTCTACTCCTTAAGAGTTGTCAAATGCTGGAATTCGCTGCTGACTGAACTAGTCCAAGCGACTTCCCAGGAGTCATTTAAGAGGAAACTTGACCTATTCTTAAGGACTAAGGATAATATCTTACTATGATTTACCGATTTCTTTTTTTCTAATCTATCATAGTTAATATACCTAGGTCCCTGCCATGGAGTATTGGTGATTCTCTGCTACTAGGCACGGAAACCCGTTAAGTGGAAGCTTCTTCTATTCCGTCCACAACCATTTGAACCATTTGAACCATTTATGTTTATTCAAACACCTCATCGTTTCGGTATTTAGGAACTAAATAGCACGTGGTGATTATTGTGTCCGATGGAGGGTTTGTGCTTTGATATATCATATTGTCCTTTATGACCACGTTTTGTTGTATCTGTATGCAGGACCAAAATAAGCGACGGTTCTGAAGCAATGATTGACATGTTTATTTCTTTGAAAGCAACTAGAAGACATCGTTGATGAATTACGATAGTTGAAAGATATAAAAACTTCAATACTATCTAGTCACAAAAACACAGGATTATACAGAGTGTCTTGTTTAAAATAGTTTAGTTGTCCAGTGGTAAATGAGTAGCGCAAAACAAATCAAGGCTGTCTGCAGTCCTCTTCAAGGTCAGCATATTAGTATAGGTCATCGTTTTCCTTGTATGCTTTTAACCAATCAGAATGTGCAGTTTTTGACCGAGCATCTAGTTACACAAGTTAATATTTTAATGTCTCGATGATATCGCTTTTTATCTAGTGTTGTGGTTTAAAGCATCCTTGGTTTCCAGCCTTGAGAAAATAGTGAGACTGCCATTTTTGTCTTCCTGACTTAGCTATATCGCTGAATTTTCAGAGGAGTGTTTGTTTTCGCTTTAATATACGACTAAATGTCATCCTCTAATCTACATTTACGCCAGATAAAATGCAAGGTCTTTTGGTAGCACTAAGCAACAATGCCAGAATGTTTGGAATGCGCTTCTCTCCCTCTAAATACAAGTTGTTGCTTCAGGACTGGTCTGTGTCAACACCTGAACTAAGGATAGGGAATGAAGTAGTCGAACACGTTGACAACTTCACTTATCTTGCAAAATCTGATCAGCCATAATGGGTTGGTATCGGACGAAATCTCAGCACGGATTCGGAAAGCTCGTTTGGCTTCTGCCACCTTACGTCACTTATGGTGAAGACGAGGTATACGTCTATCAATTAACGGACGAGTATACTGCACAGTAGTTCGTTCTGTTCTACTTTACGGCAGCGAATCATGGCCATTAAGAGCAGAAGATACTCGTAAGCTACTAGTATTTGATCACAAATGTCTTGGAAATATTTCCCAGGCGAGACTCTAATTTAGCGACTAGCCAATCAGAAGCGTTTGAGCAATTTGAGCAATTCTGAATTCATAATGCATATTGTATAGAAACTCGTCCATAGGGTTAGAGTTTGGGGTTAAGGGTTAGGTTAAGGTCAGGGTTTAGGGTTAGGGTTAGATTAGGGTTTAGGATTAGGTTAGGGTTTAGGGTTAAGGTTAGATTAGGGTTTAGGGTTAGGTGGTGGTTTTTTGACAGGCCTCAACCCCACCCTGACCCTAACCATAACTCCAAACCCTCACCCCTAACCCTAACTTCTAAAATCCGTTGTAAACTGATCGAATGTTAGCACCCTAACCCTAGGCTACAGCCCTAACCACTAACCCTATGAACGAGTTTCTATACCATATGCATTATGAATTCAGAGCCTCTGAACCTTTATCAAACCTTAACAAGTTTTTAAATCATGTAAAAGAAGAATATCTACTGTACTTCATCACATACAATATATTCACAATTTATACTAACTGCCTTCTGATTGACTAATAGTTGTCAAGGTCATTCAAGATTCGTTCAAAGGTCGTCGCTAAATTAGAGTCTCGCCATTTCCCACATCTGCTGGGATCACCGGATAAGTAATAGTGAGGCTAGACGCAGGGTATTAGGGAATGATGGTAAATCAGTTGGTGAGGTTGTGAATCTTCATCGACTGAGATGGTTGGGCCACGTATTACGTATGCCTAAACACTGATTACCACGACTCGCAATGCTGACTACTGTTGGGGATGCTTGGAAGGAAGTTAGGGGCGGTCTAACCAAAACGAGGCACCAGTGCTTGAAGACACTAACTTCTGGTCTGAACCATGTTGGTAGATGCAGACTACTTTGTTGGGGTCCGCGTGACTATCGTAACCAATGGTTGGAGACCCTGTGTGACATGGCTCAGAATCGATCACAATGGCGTCGGTGTCTACATTCTCTAAATTCCCTTGAACTGTGAGATCGAAATAGCTTCATATGTCCCTTTCTATGAACTATTTCTTTCTTTCTATACTATATCCTTACATAAAACCATTCTTTTATAATTCACACCACTGAGTTGATTGCTTTTATGAATCCGGTGTTCGTCTTGTTGTGCTAATGAGGTATGGCAACTTGGACCGATGCATATATGTGCCTGGTCCGACGTTGTAGATAACTGACCAAATAGCCTTCTACTCACTTAAACTTCCGCGAAGTTCACTCACTACTATGTGCTCAGTCCAAATGTTTCCTTTTTTGCCTATATTTTTACTACAAAATTAACGTTCAAACACTAGATTAATTTTCTGAAGTTTAAACCTGGGTAAAGACACTGATTTACAGAAAATGAGATCATAGTTTACAAAGAGGCTAATAACACTCCGACGTTTGCCATACATCTTTGTTAGTGCAAAGTTTGTTTGTTTTTAACCAAGACCTGCAAAAACGTCATAGTTGCCTGTTGACATTACTTATTAGGGATGTGTCTTAGTTTTCAACCCAATATGGAATCATACACGCTGTCACTACATACGTATAATTTTCCTCAACGTACTTTATGTAAGTGAGATAGTAGATGCATATACAAATGGCAGTCTGTTGGAAAATTAGGATTAAAATGCAACCAATTTTAAAAACCGATAGGGCTCCATTGCTACATCGATCTTACTATTCAGAATCTTAGTAACCGTCTTTTGAATTCTGGAACTTAAGACGAACGAAACTTTATGATAATTTCACTTCCGTATTTTTTGTTACCAACACCTAACTGCATAAAGTGTTCGTTAACACTAGACACCACCTGTAGAAAAGCAGTCAAGGGTTATTATCTAGTTATAACTTACGTTCTTTTCTTCTCATGAGTTTGTATCTCATGTCATAGAAACGACCTTACATTGACATATCAAGATTTTTGAGGGTCTTTTTGTGTGGTACTTAATGATAAACACCATAGTGCTAGTGCACCCAGTAATTAAAAACAAAAACGTACACTATTCGTATGCTGCCATAAGACTTACACCTCTGAAATGCCCTTATAGATGTAGTACCAAGTAGCGTACAGTGGCTAGCAGCTTCAGGCTTAATGATGTAGCGCATGAAGGTTTTCGAGTTACCATCCATTATTCTCATCACCATGACCATCTAGATTGTGAAGTAATAATCCAATACATTTAGTGGAACTACGGATTTGTCCAACGTTCCTTTTCAGACGACAAAGGGGAATGGAAACTCGATGATCCAGTATCAGTGCTCTGTGGGTTTTTGCGCGCATCAGACTTAGACTAACATAAGCTGCATACCATTAGTACTCATGTTTGATATTACGACATTTAATGGGGAACAGCGTATAGTTATGTGGATCTGAAAAATAGACTTAAATTTCACATTTCAGCCGCAAACCGATTGCCAATAGGTGTTGGCGTGGAAGTCGGCGGTAACGTTTTTGCTTGTGCCGAATTTACTTATATGCATTTATAAATATATATACTTAAATGTCCAGCAAACTGAATTGTGGATATTGAACGTGACTGTTTTCAGCCTGCATTTCAGTTACATCCATGTCTACTGAATTCCACAGATACCCCGATCTCTGTTTCAACGCGCCACTACAAAAGATTTATAGGATTGTTATGCTTAACTCTTGGGTTTTTCTGCATTCAATCGCAATGTATTTTCGTCAGCTAAACTATTGGCGTGACAGCCAGTCAGTTTACTGAACAAACCCAAAAAATCTGTCGCAGTCTACACATATCTATTTGATGCCCCCTTGTACCAATATTTATGTGTTCAAATAAATAAATAAATAAAATAGTCTACACCGTCTATAGGAAGTAAGCCTGTGTATATAATTGACCATAGTAGTAGATAATCCCACACCTGATAACCGACCAATTGTTATGTAGTTGAGCACCGTTCTCCACGTACATATCCACAAAGTTAGCAGGATGTAAGAGAAGTTATTCACCAACAAGCCACTTGGTTGCTGCAATAGATACCTGCTTCAACGATTAAATTTACATCCACTGTAACTGCCTCCTCGCGGCACGAGTGTCGTATAGGAAATTGAGAGGACGAAAAGCGAATGGCCGGCGCTTTAACTGCGTTGGTGGGTACGAAAGACCAACCTAGGGGAGTAAAAAAACCTGATTCCAAACCAATGGTGTATATGGGCTCCAGGATCATGAGGGAACAAATGGCGTATGAACCTTTTGTTGGTCACCGGCTACCATGTGACTACATCTCCCAATGTTGCTCCACTATCTTGTGGATTAGACCTTTAGAAAAAAAGGCTCGAGTGTGACCCCCTAAGAAAGCCACATGCTTAGGTTTGGAAACCCTGGAAGTATCACAGCCCTTACACAAATCAATAATAACTACTACTAGCCTGATTGTTATTGTGTGGCACATATGTACTTGGTGTCTCCTTGTACCGATGCTTATGTATTCAAACAAATAACTAACTAACAACCCTTCACAATAACAAAGACCCTCTGGGCACAGGATTTTTCCTGGAACAGAGCACCAACAATAAAGGTTAGATAACGGACAGCAGCTTACCTCCTCTACTTCAGGAATTTTACCAACAAAATTCCAATATGCGTATCTGTACACTGCCATTATATCCTCAATCCAATGGAAAAGAAGAGCGATTTATGGACACCCTCAAACACAACGTTGACAAAATCAAAGGGAGGCGCTCATCACCAAACGATGCACTACTGAATCAGGAATCCTCACGGGTCGTAGATTGAGAATCCCTCACCTACTACTGGAAAGGATTAGCTATGCGAAAATGACAAAACTGAAAGTCTCAGATTTTGGAATGGGATCTGTCGTGTTCTCCCAACATTACAGATCGAAACGTGACGCATAGGTAGAAAGGTGAGTGACGAGAAGATTTGGTCAGGTAATGTATGAAGTTGGAGAAGACAAACGGACTCCACACCCAATCAATTACAAAGACATGTGTCGTCGATAACATACAAGAACAAGCCACTCGATTCTAGAAACACCAATAGGCACACTCCGTCAACCACAACCACCGAACAACAGACTAGAAAGGACAGAAATAACACCTTTAGAATTAGTGAGACTACGTCCAAGATGGTGAAGACGACAACGGCGGAAAATGGTTCAGCCTCAAGTGAACCAAGGGGTTATATGTTATTTGAAAGGGGTGTTGTGGGTATTAAATCCATAAGTACGGCATTTAGGAAGAAAACAACCTTAAGGTCCATAAATTAATTTATAGCTAGTTCTGCTGATTAAATCTCAGTGCACCTCCATTTGTATTGA